GAAAGAAAGAAAGAAAGAAAGAAAGAAAGAAAGAAAGAAAGAAAGAAAGAAAGAAAGAAAGAAAGAAAGTAAGTAAGTAAGTAAGTAAGTAAGTAAGACAGACTATTTTTTAAGAGAAAACCTGTTCCTACGAGCTGGAGGAGCCTGAGCAAATTTTCTTGAAAAGTATATTGCACTGGCAAAACAAATGAATGAATAACCATCTTTACCTTAGTTGAATCCAACATAGCAGATTTTATTGCTGATTTGCTCATGGCTTCAAGTGTGAGCTTTCAATTTTACAATCTAATGATATACAATCTGATGATATTATTCAAACATGTTATTTTTTGTTCCTGATCAAAGAATGGAAATTTTGCCTTCTGAATTTGTTTACTACAGTAAACATAGTTTTTCATGTATATATTACACTGCTTAAACAGAGCAGTCAAACATTTTCCATTATAGCAAAAATAAACTATCAACAATGTGGCAATTATTTTCTTTCAAAGAAACATTGTATTTTAGTTTAATTTCATGCCATTTACGTTGGATAGTTGGAGAAAAGAACAATTAACTGTTTTCCTGGTGGCATGATGAGAGGAATGTGTGATCCATATAGCAGCAAACATGGACATCAGAAAAGAATGAGAACACAGAAATATTTTGAGAACTTATCTTGAGGGTCAAAAAAAACCCAAACCCCTTTTAAAAACAAACCAAAAGAGGACAAAAAGAAGGGCAGTGTGGAAGAATGAAATTCTACAACACAGGACAAGAAATAACACAATAAAAACCATAGAGAACATACCTTACTACTTTACTTTAAAAAGATTTTGGGGAAAAACAGTACTTTTGCAAAATAAAATATTTTTTCAGGTACTTTCATGGGTGGGTTACTCCGGGTTCGCACCAGTATGCCATAAGAGATTCATCAAATTTACCGTATGTACAATTCGTACAAATTTACCCCTTCGTCTGGTGGGCCAGTACCGGAATGCTCCCTCCTGCCTGCCCCCCCTCGCTTGCTCCCCCCGCCCACCCAGTCACCGTTCGCTCACTCACTTGTCCCGCCCGTCCACACCATGCTTGCCCTGCCCATCCACTTTCTTTGCCCGCCCAGTCGAAGCTCCAAGGCTGCAGGTGGCTGAGGAGGTGGGAGGGGGGAATGCTGCCTGTCTGCCTGCCCCCTCCAGAAGAAACTGGGAGGGCCCTGGGATGCATTCCTCACCCCCTCCATTGGAAATGAGATGGCTGCCCTCTTCTCTCTGACAGCCGTCTCCCTGGGGGGCTCCGCAGAACATCCCAAGACCGATGCCACCACATCTTCCCTCTTTGGGGACAGGTCCTCTTCAGAAGGACCAGGCTCCATTGGCAATGTTCCCTCTAATTTTTTTTCAGTGTGGAGGAAAAGTATAGTGTTTGAGCAGCACATTTTTATGCCTGAACACCTGATTTTTTTTTCACAGATGTCACCCAAGACAATGACAAAATCAGTGTTATATCAAATCAAACTAATAAAATTTTAAAACTAATAAAATTGTAAATGAATAAATTTAGAAATATTTGTTCAAAAGCAAACTCACTACAATTATCTTT